GTGTCCTGTACTTTGACTTTTTTTTCTATTTCGTTTCATTTAAAAAAATGCTTGTTTTACCCCCTGTATTGCTGGACCAAAGTGTAGGAACGTTTATAATTTTGTTAATATATTGTCCTCCATAAGTCAGCGCCTATTTCTACTCCCACCAGCAGTGCATGAGAGTAATGCCAAAACTGATACTATAAATGCTTTGAAAATTCTGCCTTTAGAGCATGTGACTCATCAATGTCCTCAAACTTGTTCCACTCCTGTCTTGCCTGGGGATAGAGTATCTTGTGCATTAACTCAGCTCCTTTTTCAGTAGTAGTGGGAGAGCGAAAAAGAAGACTGTGGGTTAGTTGAACACTTCAGGATTCCATCCTGATTTATTTATAATGTTTTGATTGTATCTCTTTGGATAGCTTTTTTGTGGTTGTCCTAGGTACTTTATGTGTAGGTAACTTATTATAGTCTACTGGTTAACTCCCTTTACCCACCCCCTCCATTTCTAATTTTCTCTCTATATATTGAGAACCGTATCACACAGTGTTAATAATTTCTACTTAAATCATCAAAAATAATATAGAAGACTTAGGAGAAGGAAAAGGTATTGTATTTACCCATATTCTTCCTCTTTCCAGTTTTTCCCTCCTGATTTTCCAATATTCCTTCTTTTATCATTTCCTTTCTGTTAGAAGAACTTCCTATAGTCATTCCTTTTTTTAGGGCAGGTCTACTGATGACACACTCTCTTAGTTTTCTGTCATTTGTGGATATTTTAATCTCCCTCTCTTTCCTGAAGGATATTTTGTCTGGATATAGAATTCTGGGTTGGCAATTCCTTTCTTTCAATACTTGAAGAATGCTTCTGGGCATCAAAAATATGAATAGATATTGAAATTCAGAATGTTTATTATGACCATAATGGTCTAAGTGTTAACAGAAAAACTTTTTTTTGAATTATAATTACTACAAGTATACCATAAATGTATTATTGATTTTATTATTAAACAATTACTAGATGTAAATGTATCTTTTCAGAGGGGACTTTTCTTTTCATGGAATTTATGTATCCATAGATGAATATTATGTATATGTTAGAATGAGACTGGTTTCAGTGGAAATTAATAGTAAAAAGAAAAGATGTTGGGTCACTAATAAGTGTGAAGTTTACAAAACACTTATGCTTTTGTTAAGTATATCATTTATAGTAGGATTTACAGTATATTCCTGCTAAACTAATCTATATGTAGTATGTCCATATAGGAATGAAAAACAAGCAGAGAAATGCATGGAATGTGACAGTGTAAAGACTTGTCCCAGTTTTTTAAAAAATATGGCTTTACTGTGTGCAGTATTCTTTTCATAAAAGTTAATAAAAATGTTTCTCCATAAGTGTTCAAGAAAATATAAAACACTAACTTAACTTTGGTATGTGTTACGTTTACTTGAAGATATGATGTTAACTGAAGTAAGGGATCTTTTCAACTCTTTGAAATCATGCAAAATATCTTCACGTCACAGACGCAAGACACAGGTGATTGATAGAATGTACTAATTTCTTTCTCATTTCTCTGAGAATGGTGAAAGTACAGATGCTGAATTCTAATTTAAGATGCTTCCCAGATCTTGAGTTCTAAATAATTCTATATAAATTATGTAAGGAGTCTGGCCACAAGCTTGTAACCCGGATGAACTAAGTTCTAGCTGTCTTCAATATTTATCATCACTGTTTTCGTTGGATTCTCTCAGATGAGCTTCTTAATCAGAAGGTTGTTTTTATTCTCACATCCTGAAATTTTAACAGTGCATTGGGGCCAGGCCAGAATATCTGCTTTTTAATGTCATGTATTGTTCTTAACAGAGGTGTATGGGACAGGGAAAAACAAGACCACCTTGGATATATGGTACTTCCATTAGAGGATACTCCCTTGATATCAATATTTAAAATTATTCCTTTGGTGTTCTGGATGTTTCTACAGGGAAATGCATTGTAGTGAATTTTAGATGTGTAAGAGATACATCTTTCTCTTGTGAACTGGAAGAAGGAAGATACAAAATATACTGTAGGAAAGGAGAAAGCAGTATGATGCTCTGACCTTGATATTAGTTCTAGTAGCTGGTTGGTAATTATAGACATGAAGGATTTGGAAATTGATTCCCTAAAACCATCTGGTCCCTAGTGTGAAGACTGCTGGATTAAGGTGTAATCTTTCTTCACTAGGTTATAGTCTTGAATCCTCTACTGTGTAATATTCATCTGCTTTTTACCGTTATAACTGTTTTGAGTCCCTTAAGGACCTTCATCATTGTGGGCTGATTACCGGTACTTTGCTGTGCTCTCTTTTCTCTTTTTCATTCTTCATGAGTGTGTTCCTCAGTGGAACAGATTTTTTTTTTAATTAAGTTATACTTGACATACAACATTAGTTTCAGGTATACAACATGGTGATGAGATATTTTTATATGTTATGAAATAATCAGAACAAGTGCACTTACCTTCTGTCACTATACAAAGTTGTTACTGTATTACTGACTGTATTCCCATTACTTCCCCTTGACTTAGTTTATAGCTGGAAGTTTTATACCACTTAATCCCCTTCACCTGTTTCATCCATCATCCTCTTCTCCCAGCAGTTTGGGCTCTCTGAGTCTGTTTCTGTTTTGTTTCGTTTGTTTATTTTTCTTGTTTTTTGGATTCCACATATGAGTGAAATAATTCAGTATTGGTATTATTATTATTTTTTTAACATCTTAATTGGAGTATAATTGCTCCACAATGGTGCGTTAGTTTCTGCCCCATAACAAAGTGAATCAGCTATACGTGTACATATATCCCCACATCTCCTCCCTCCTGCGTCTCCCTCCCACCCTCCCCATCCCACCCCTCTAGGTGGTCACAAAGCACCGAGCTGATCTCCCTGTGCCATGCAGCTGCTTCCCACTAGCTATCTATTTTACATTTGGTAGTGTATATATGTCCATGCTACTCTCTCACTTCGTCCCAGCTTACCCTTCCCACTCCCTGTGTCCTCAAGTCCATTCTCTACATCTGCGTCTTTATTCTTGTCCTGCCCCTAGGTTCTTCATAATCATTTTTTTTTCTTTTTGTCTGACTTATTTCACTTAGCATGATATCCTCAAGGTCCATCCACGTTGTTGTAAATGGCAGGATTTAATTCTTTTTTATGGTAGAGTACGATGTGTGTGTGTGTGTGTGTGTGTGTGTGTGTGTGTGTGTGTTGTGTATACACCACATCTTTGTTATCTGTTTATCTATTGAAGGACACTTAGTTGCTTCTGTATCTTGGGTATTGTAAATAATGCTGCAGTGAACATAGGGATACATACATCTTTTCAAATTAGTGTTTTTGTTTTCTTTGGATAAATACCCAGAAGTGGAATTGCTGGATCATATTGTAGTTCTATTTTCAGTTTTTGGAGGAACCTCTATACTGTTTTCCATAATGGCTGCACCAATTTACATTCCCACCAACAGTGCATGAGGGTTCCCTTTTTTAGTGGAGCAGTTTTTTATTCTTTCTCTTCCTCCTTCTTTAACATGTATATATATTTTTTATTCACAATCCACTCCCCTCAGGTTTTAATTTTCCTCTATGCGTCAGATTTTGTCTGTATGGTTGTTGATTTTTCATTCATTCAAAAACTTAGGATACGTTACAAAAACATAATTGCCAATTGTAGTTCAATGACTGAAACTCCATGACGGCAGGAATTTGGTGTGTTTTTCCCCTAATCATTGGATATGTAGAACCTATCATAGTAAGTGAATGAATGAGCATGAAACAAAATTTCCAACTCTTTCTCTAACAGAGAAATAACCAAATTAATGTTGTGAAGTCTTGTTTTTGTTAATTAATCTTTAAAATAGTACTTTTCTGATTTAATGGTAATTAAAATGCTTTTAATATTGTGGTAAGTATCGTTAACATTTCTGATAATTTTAATTGTTAATAAAAATTAATGACCATGATTGGGTTATTTCATAAAACCATACTGGAAATAAAGGCTTATAAAAGCACCTACCTCCTAGGGATGTTGTGAGGATTGAATTAGTTACTACGTGTAAAGCACTTAGAACTGGACTTCACGCATAGTAAAATGCTTGGCAACTATTAATTTGTAACTGAGAATGGTGCTGAAACTGACTTCTTCCCCATCATTTTGCAGGAGGGCCCCTGATGGTCAGTTGATCAATTCATCCATTCATAGGGAGGCTGGCAGTTTTCCCTCAGGCCTTTGCAAAAGCCCCCTGAAAGGATCCTCCTCCACAGGACTTTGACTCACCTTCCTTCCCAGGGGTCAACCTCTAAGACCCTTGAGGCTAGGGGACTGGGAAGAGCTTCAGAATGGCTAATATATTGCAGTCAAGTGGTGAGAGTTTAAAATGGTCTCTGCCTGTTAGCCCTGTGTGACTGAGTGATGCAGGGCAAATTGCTTCACTTCTTACTTTCCTCCCTTGCCCATCTCATCTCAGAGAATGACCTTCTCATCCCTTTTCTTACTCTGAGCAGCCATACTAGATTTCTTTTACTTGCACACAAACGCCCTATCCTCTCCTACATCTGGCCCTTTGAACATGCCATTCCCTTCTAATGAAACTTGTTCTTTCTCTCCCCTCTCCTCTTGCTTTATTTGGTCAGACCCTACTCATGCTTGCATTAGTTGCCTCTTTTTTAGGAAACCTTTCCTAACTAGTTCCCACTAGCCTGGTTTGTATCTCTGCCATGCTTTCCCTTCACATCATCATGATTCTTAAAGCCTTTCATCCCATTTGGAGTTGGCCTACAGACTGAGCTCCCGGAGGAATTGATGGAATCTGACATGTTCATTGCTGCATCCCCTATTACTGGCACATAGGAAGCCCCAATTAATGCTGTATATGTGGATGGGAAAAAATACTGGCGGTATTGTTACTTAGAATTTGGTTAACATTATTTCCACAGCTGCCCTTGTTTTACAGATTTTGTTTTTTGTTTTTTGTTTTTCCTGTAAAGCTGCTGAAACTTAGAAGCTGATTTTGTCACAGTGTAAGATGCCTTTGGAAGATTCTGCATTCCTCTTAGATGAATCTTTACAACTTGGTGAGTTTCACTAGATATATTCAATCTTCATTTTGAGCTCAGAAGTATGCCTTCTCTTTTTTTCTTTTCTTTTTTCTGTTTTCCCTTTCCTTTTCCTTTTCCTCCCCTCCCCTCCCCTCCCTTCCCCTCCCCTCCCCTCCCTTCCCCTCCCCTCCCCTTTCCTTTCCTTCTTCCCTCCCTCCCTCCCTCCCTTCTTTCCTTCCTTCCTTCCTTCCTTCCTTCCTTTTCTGTCATAATTATTGGGTACAATGAGGTTTACAGTCTCCTGGCAAGGCACATAGGACAGAGTATTATAAAAATATTTAGGACATGATCGGCTACCTTCTTTGATAGTTTTTATTTATCTTTAGATTTTTTATTCTTCAGAGGAATGAAAGATTATTTATTGGTAAGGTAATTGATATCCAGATGTATTTTCTTTCAGCAATTCTTGAAATTTTTCAAAGTTACTACCTGAAAGTAAGAATTATAACTTGTCTTTTTTTGAGAGAAAGGTGATTTGCAAATGACTGAAAAGTAGAATAAGAATTATTTCCTGTCAGGTTTTAGGTTTAGAGATAAAGAAGCAGTTGACTGAGGTACAGAAGGGCCAGTCACCTACTGCATGTCTGCCTTACAAGCAAGTCTCTCCATGAGGGGTCTGCACACCACCAAATCCAGCTTGCTGCCTGTTTTTGTATGACCCGTGAACTAAGAATAGTGTTTACATTTTTAAATGGTTGGGGGAAAAAAAATCCTGGAAGCAGAATACTATTTTATGATATGTGAAAATTATATGAAATTCAGGTTTTAGTGTCTGTGAATAAAGCTTTATTGAAATACAGCCACTCTTATTTTTTACATATTGTGTATGGCTGTTTTCAAGCTATAGTGGCAGAGTTAGGTAGTTGCATCAGAGATGTTAGGGCCCAGAAAGCCAAAAATATTTACTTTGTGACCCTTTACAGAGTAAGTTAGCTGACCCCTTCTCTACCTGGGTAGAGAAGTGTCTATAGATTGAGTGCAAAGTAAGAGATGAGTGGGGGAAAATTAGAGGGAGGTAAGAGTTGATACCAGCTCTCAGTGACTGACTTACACTTTTTTCGTGTCCTGGAAAGCATAATCCATATTCTCATTAGACTGACCTGTGTTACTGTTTTAAAATAGAAAATAAGTTGATTCTCCTATTACTTTTCTTCTAAAATGAATGGACATTTGTAGAAAGAAAATTAGTATAGTACTCTGTTTTCTACCAGGTTTTAGTGTTACCATAATAACTTAAGCAGACTATCCTCTAAATCATGAAGGATTAAAAGGAGCAGGTATCAAGCACACTAAAATAGTAGCTCATAATGCTTTGCTTAGCGATGCCCTCACAGGAAACAGCAGTGATAAAAATTAAGCCATAAATGAAAGTTCAACTAAGTTATGTTATTTAGGGTTGGTAAATTTCGTGCCAGCCACTGTGGTCATACAATTAACCCAAATTAATAGAAAATCGGTGTAAAATGTGTTAAAGAATAATAAAAAAATAAAGTTAAGTTCTAGCTAAGCCTTAAAAAGCTATAGCTATTTAAAAATGAACTGCAAAAGTGACTTTAACAGTTACTGATCACATGACAGCTAAGACCCCAAATGGGACTAGATAGCCCACTATGCTTAGCCCTACATGCAAATAATTATCATAACAAAATTATTCCCCGGAGTACTACTAGCAATAGCTTAAAACTCAAGGGACTTGATGGTGCTTCATTCCCCTCTAGAGGAGTGTGTTCTCTCTGTAATCGATAAACCTCACCAACATTTGCTAATTCAGTCTGTATACTGCCATCTTCAGCAAACCCTGAAAAGGAATAACAGTAAGCATAATTATTATACATAAAAACATTAGGTCAAGGTGTAACTTACGGGATGGGAAAAAATGGGCTACATTTTCTATTTCAAGACATATTTCTTATTATACAAAAGTTTTGATGAAGCTAAAAACCAAAGGAGAATTTAGCAGTAAATTAAGAATAGAGTGCTTAGTTGAGTCAGGCCGTGAAGCATGCACACTCTGCCCATCACCCTTCTCAAGTATTAATAACTCTTATAACTTCTTAGCAAGTACCAAACATATGAGAGGAGATAAAGTCATAACAAGGGAAGCATACTGGAAAGTGTGCTTGGATAAATCAAAGTATAGCTTAAACAAAAGCACCTAGTTTACACTCAGGAGATTTCAAAGTGTATGGATACTTTGAACTACATCTAGCCCAAGCCTCCCACAAATTGAACTATTATAAGCAGATTGAATAAATCATTCACCCAATATTTAAAGTATAGGAGATAGAAATTAAAAGCTTTTTGGCACTATAGAGAAAGTATCGTAAGGGCATGAGGCAAGAAGCATTACAAGTAATAAAAAGTAAAGCTTCCCCCTTTTACCTTTTGTATAATGATTTAACTGAAATTTTTAACAAAGAGAACTTAAGTTAAATACCCCAAAGCCAGACGAGCTACTTACATACAGTTTATTAGAACAAACTCATCTATGTGGCAAACTTGTGAGAAGATTTATAAGTAGAGGTATAACGAGCCTGTTGATTGATAGCTGGTTGTCCAGGAAAAGGATCTTAGTTCAACTTTAAAAACTATTCAAAAAATCATAAATTTTAATGTATTTTTAAATACTAATCTAAAAAGTTGCAGCTTTTTAGAAACAGGATACAACCTTATCTAGAGAGTAAAAATAACACCATAGTTGGCTTAAAAGCAGCCATCAGTTAAGGAAGCGTTCAAGTTCAACAACACATTTACCTTAATACCACCAATAAGTAAATCAACTCCTAGTTTAATACTGGACTAATCAATTAATAGAAGCAGTAATGTTAATATGAGTAACAAGAAATATTTGTCCTTGCATAAGCTTATATAAGTAAATAGATATCACTGGTAGTTAACAACAAATAAACCTAAGTCAATGTTAGATTATTTATTAAAATTACTGTTAACCTGACACAGGTATGCCCCTAAGGAAAGATTAAAAAGAGTAAAAGGAAATCGGCAAATACAAATCTTGCCTGTTTACAAAAAAACGTCACCTCTAGCGTAACTAGTGTTACAGGCACTGCTTGCCCAGTGACATCTGTCACATGGCCACGGTATCCTGACCATGCAAAGGTAGTATAATCATTTGTTCTCTGAATAAGGACTTGTATGAATGGCCACATGAGGGTTTTACTGTCTTTTACTTTTAATCAGTGAAATTGACAAAATAAGATAAGACCCTATGGAGCTTTAATAACTGCCCGCCCCCCCCCCCAAAAAAAAGGAACTAAACCATCAAGGGATAACAAAACTTTTATATGGGTTAGCAGTTTTGGTTGGGGTGACCTCGGAGAACGAAAAAGCCTCTGAATGATTAAAACTTAGACCAACTAGTCAAAATATCTTCACTTATTGATCCAAAAAAATTGATCAATGGAGCAAGTTATGCTAGGGATAATAGCACAATCCTATTCTGGAGTTCATGTCGACAGTAGGGTTTAGGACCTCGATGTTGGATCAGGACATCCCAATGGTGTAACCCCTATTAAAGTTAAGTTTGTTCAACAATTAAAGTCCTATGTGATATGAGTTCACACCAGAGTAACCCAGGTCAGTTTCTATCTATTACATATTTATCCCAGTACGAAAAGACAAGAGAAATAAGGTCTACTTTACAAAAGTGCCTTAAAACTAATTAATGATACAATCTTAATTCATTAAAACACCCTGCCTGAGAACAGGGTTTGTTAGGGTGGCAGAGCCCAGTAATTATGTAAAACTTAAACATTTATTAGCTGTTCAACTCCTCTCCCTAACAAAATGTTTATAATTAACATTCTAACACTTATTGTCCCAATTTTTCTAGCTGTGGCATTCCTCACACTAATGAACGAAAAGTATTAGGTTATATACAACTTCAAAAAGGACCAAACTTCGTTGGACCATATGGCCTATTACAGCCTATCGCCGACGAAGTTAAATTACTTATTAAAGAACCACTACGACCAGCCACATCTTCTGTTTCCACATTTATTATCACATCCATTCTAAAAGTATCTAATAGTATATACCTTTTGTACAGTTTCTGGTTTTTTCTGTGTATGGAGATTACCTGTTATTTTTTAAGTGAAAGTACTAGTACATTACTTGGAAACTAGTCGGTGACTGACTCAATGGAACAAAGCTAGTACGTACATTGGGGATGACGGTACATGTCCCTTCTGGAGTCAATGGATAGATTGGAGGATACTCTTAAGGAGCTTTTCTGCAGTCTGACAGAGGCAAGTTAAGTCCTCTGTTAGGAGATTAAAGATCACGATTTCAGGATCTACCTTTTTTGTTCCTCTAGAACATTTCATAGTTTTGTCTTTGGACACATTTTTTACGCTGCATCATAGTTGCTTCCTTTTCAAAATAGGAAAACATAATACTTTTCCTATCTGAAAGCAGGAATCTTAGGTTTGCTAAATTACAAGTTTCTTAAGGGTAGGTACCATGACTGTTTTTTTTTTTTTGCTGTACGCCGGCCTCTCACTGCTGTGGCCTCTCCCGTTGCGGACCACAGGCGCCGGATGCGCAGGCTCAGCGGCCATGGCTCACAGGCCCAGCCGCTCGGCGGCATGTGGAATCTTCCCGGACCGGGGCACGAACCCGTGTCCCCTGCATCGGCAGGTGGACTCTCAACCACTGCGCCACCAGGGAAGCCCTAAGTTGATTATATATTGTAATTTTTTGACATCTTGAGGGACAGGATTTTGAAACCACTAATCCACGAATTACCAATATCAAAGAAACCTAGAAACCTCCTCATTATAAAGCTTTAAAATGTATATATACTAAAGCCACTCTTGGATAGGAAGATTTTTGTATTCTCATCTTAGTCTTCTGAAACTTTTCCTAACTCTTCCATTGAATCTCTTTTTTTTAATGAAACTTCCCTATATAGTTTGCTTAAGAACCCAAGTTTTAAAATCTTATCTTGCAGAGTACCTTGTAAACGTAAGACAGTTTAAAAGGTATTTAGCTGAAGGAAAACTTCCAGATTAAAGGAGTCTAGGGAGATAAAATAGCTAATCCAATACCTGACTCAGAACTGGATCCTGTACTAGAGGAGCCCTAAAGGACTTTATTTGCTCTCTTAAAAAAATAGACGTTAATATTGTATAATTGTTAAATTTCCTGAAGTTAGTAACTATCCTATGGTTATTTAAGAGAATGTCTTTGTTCCCAGGCTGTACACATTTAAGTAATTGGGGGTAAAAGGACATGATATATGCAACTTACTCTCAAATGGTTCAGAAAATATGTTTATCGGTATATAAAGAAAATGATGCATGTGTTAACAGTTGGCAAACTGGATAAATTATATGTAGAAGTTCTAATCCTAATATCATAGTTAAATATCTATTAGTACAACTTAGAACTTAAAAAAACCCTTAGGTATAGTTAATTAAATTTTCATCTATCCTATACTTTTCTTTAATGTTCACTTTGGCTTGTTTCATTAAAAATCTATTAAGTTTTCCCTTAGCTCCATAAATATACTTTGTTTTTAAAAGAGATCTGTTTTTATTGTCTTAAATATTTTGAAGGAAATTCAAGAGTAAGGATCTATTGTAAGGTTTTTCAAACTGGTATAAAGAATTGCAGACTTTTTTTGAGCATTTACTTTGTGGTACACATTATTTTCTAAGCGCTTTACATTTAATAATTCATTATATTTCACAACAACCTTATGCTTACACCATGCCTTGATTTGCTTTTTTTTTTTTTTTTTTTTTTTTTTTGCGGTACCCGGGCCTCTCACTGTTGTGGTCTCTTCCATTGCGGAGCACAGGCTCCGGATACGCAGGCTCAGCGGCCATGGCTCACGAGCCCAGCCACTCCACAGCATGTAGGATCTTCCCGGACCGGGGCACGAACCCATGTCCCCTGCATCAGCAGGCAGACTCTCAACCACTGTGCCACCAGGGAAGCCCTGATTTGCTTTTTTCAAGTTTAGCTAAAACTGAGCTTAGATGCTAAGCCTCAGAAGCTTTGAATTTTCTTCTTTTTTTCCAAATACAAACTGTGGGAACTGGTGACCTGGAACTTAATATAGAAAATTGATTATATTTACATTAAGAAAAAAATATCATCTTAGAATTATCTAGTTTGTGAACATGAGATAGGTCTAACTTCAAGGTAAACTTTTGCCGTCATAATGTGGGAAGGATCCACATATCAAAACTGTCAGTAATTATCCAGGAAAAAGTAAATAATGACTTTAGTACCCAAGTAAGAGGCAGATTGATGTAGAAACCTAGTTCTACTAGACTTCAATTTCACCAAGTAAAATAACCAAAAAGTTAAAAATAAAATATCAAGAGACTGATATAGTATTGCTAACTTTTAAAATGTTTTATATTGAATTAAAACATGCATATTATACAGTGCATAAATACTGAGTGTCATTTTGATGAAATTTTATGAAGTCAACACTCGTTTAACCAATACCAAGATCAAGATATAGAACATTTTCATCAATCCAGGAGCCTCCTTCATGCCCCCTGACAGTCATCACGCACTCCCAAAGGTAACTATTATTCTTGCTTGATTCACTATTCATTAATATTGTCTATTTTTGAACTTCTTTTGGCTTTTTATGGTCAACATCTTGTTGATGTGAGTCATTCATATTGATTCATATAGCAGTAGCTCATCCTTTTTCATTGCTTTGTAATACTTCATTATATGTATATACCAAAATTATTCATCCATTTGTACTGTTGATGAGCATTTGGTTTACTCTCAGTTTTTGGCTGTTATGAACAATTCTGCTGTGAACATTCTTGAACATTTCTTTTGGCACATATGTATGCATTTCTGTTGGATAAATATCCAGTGGTGAAAATGCTGGGTCAGGGTATTTGGCTGTTTAGCTTTTGTAGATGCTCCTAATGGTTGAATCAGTTTACACTTCCACCAACAGTGTACATGAATTCTTGTTGCTCTTCATCCTCAATAACACTTGAAATTATTAGTGTTTCAAATTAATAACTCTTCTGCAGTGTATGTAGTGAAATTTTATTGTAGTTTTAATTTGTTATTCCCTGATAACTTAAAAGGTTAGCACATGTTTACATGCTTACTGACCCTTTGGATATCCTTTTTTGAGAAATGCCTGTTCATGTTATTTGTCCATTTTTCTGTTGTGTTGTCTGTCTTACGGATTTGCAGAAGTTCTTTATTTCTAGGATAAGTTTTTGTTGGATTAAGTATTGAAGTTATCTCTTCTTCTTCACTCTTTCAGTAGTGTGTCTTAATTAAGATAATTTCTTAATTTTAATAAAGTCTATTTTATCAGAGTGTTCTTTTATGGTTAGTTTTTTGTGTTTTAAGGATTCTTTGTCTATTTCAAAGCCAAGAAGATACTGTGCTATGTTTTCCTCTATAAACTTGAGTGTTTTAACTTTCCCATTTAGGTTTCTGCATGATGTGTGGTAGGATTCATGGTTTATTTTATTTTCCATTTGGAAATCCATTTGGTCCAGCATTATTTATTGAAAAGACTGTCCTTTCCTACTGTAATGCAGTAGTAGTGCCTTTGTTGTAATTCAGGTGACTTTATTTGTGGGTCTGTTTTTGGACTCTGTTTCTGTTCCATTGGTCTGTTGTTGTACCAGTGCCATACACTTTTAGTTATTATAGCTTTAAGTTCTCCAACTTTTGTCCTTCAAAATTGCCTTGGTTCTTCTTGGTCCTTATGAATTTCAATAAAGATTTTACACTCAGCCTGTCAGTTTCCTAAATGAGTAAATAAATAACAAATCCCTGCTTAACATTAAGCAAGTTAAATGTTATTTATTATTTCATATTATTATTGTCTAGTTTAATATTGAATCTGTAGATCAATTTGGATATATATATATATATATATATCTTAAATATATATATATATCTTAAATATCTTTCCATATTGAGACTTTCAATATGTTAACCACAGTATATCTCCATATATTTAGGTCTTTTAAAATTTCTCTCAGAAATATTTTGTGTGTAGAGGCCTTAGACATCTTTTATTAACTTTTAAAGGTAATGATATTGTGTTTTTTTTTTTAAGTCCTTATAATTTGCACATTCGTACTAGAGTATTTACAGATGACATGATATAGTTTTGGGGATTTGCTTCAAATAATACAAAGGAGGATGGGAAGGAATGGGGAAGGGGAAGAATAGATGAAACAGGATTGACCATGATTTGATAATTGTTGAAAATGGGTGATGAATATATGGGTTAATAATTATTCTTTTTTACTTTTGTGTATGTTTGAAATTTTCCATAAAAATAGGTTCAAAAATATGTATAACAACTGAAGATTGATACACATATAAGAATTCAGAAGTTTATAATAATACTTAAAAAAAACCCTCATTTTATTACTCTGAAAATCACTGGTAAATGAAAGAATCAACCATTTATTCTTCATTTTCTGTACAGATTTCATTCCAGGATAACCAAATAGTTAAGAGGGAAAGTTTACTGTTATAGAAAAATCATAGACAATAACAAATGCTGGGAGAATGATAGGATTAGAAATTCACCACAGTGCAATTTCTAATAGAATTATGATCTAGATAATGATCAGTCAATGACTACTAAAGACTTTAGGTGAAAGTCTGTTGAGAAATGGATATAATACAATGCATAGGCCAAAATGGAGTATGCCTCTCTCTGACTGATTAGAACTAAATACTCTCAATAGAATACTAAAAGCAACTATCTAAAGACCTTGAAAGTTAATAATAGGCAAATCAAGGGCTTCCCTGGTGGCGCAGTGGTTGAGAGTCCGCCTGCCAATGCAGGGGACACGGGTTCGTGTCCCGGTCCTGGAAGATCCCACATGCCGCGGAGCGGCTGAGCCCGTGAGCCATGGCCGCTGAGCCTGCGCGTCCGGAGCCTGTGCTCTGCAATGGGAGAGGCCGCAAGAGTGAGAGGCCCACGTACCGCAAAAAAAAAAAAAAAAGGCAAATCGAGAAAGGAAGTTATAACTTGAAGACTAGCCTGTGTAATGGTGAATATACCTTTTCTTTCTTCTCATGACCCAGCTTTGACCAAATGGTGGGCTGAATTAGGGAACTGCACAGTGGATGCAGCAATTTAGAGAAACCCCTATTTCTAGACACACGACAAGGAAAAGGAGTACCCCTTTTTTCCCTCCCAAGCCTGCCCTGAGACCATCTCTACCTATAAAGTTACATTGCCAGGTAGCACAAGCACTTTAAAACTCTGAGAGAAAACGATTTCTCTGGTCAGAGGATTTGGGGAAAAGGCCCCTGGAAACTGGAGCATGCTGGGGAAATCTCACAGAGAAGAGAGCTGATGTGAGAGGAGACCCACAAAGGTCCCACCTTACTTATGAGCTACGCATGCATGTACAGACCCAAAGGAACACAGCAAAGACAGAGAACTGACCTACAATATAAACCACTGTTCAAATCCCAGACTTGCCTCTGAGCAGTGCATGCAGAGGATAAAGCCAAAAAACATAGCAAAGACTTTGAAAACTGAGCTGACAGTGGTACTGCCATGCTAGAATGCAATATATAACTTGTAGTATAAACTTAAGCAAAAAAAATACCAAATTCTCCAGAAGATGTTTATAAAATCTAGTTTCATAACCTAATATTCAGAATGCCTAGGATATAATCCAAAATTACTTGACATACAAAGAAACAGGAAAATCTGACTTTTTTAAGGGAAAAGACAATAAATAGATGCCAACCCTGAGATATTCAGATGGTGGAATTATCAGAAAAAGACTTTAAAGCCGCTGTTATATTATATCCATGGCCCATGAGACAAAAGGGAACAGTTTTGAAGTGAATAGAAAGATAGTTCTCCTCTGAAATAAAAACCACATAAAAGAATCAAGTGATAACATCAGAACTGAAAAGTACAATATATGCAATACAAATTTACTGCATGAGTTCAATAGCAGACTTGAAGATATATCAATAGAAATCTCAAATCGTATCTTCTGTATCAAGGGTATGTCTCTGTTATGTAATACTTGTTAAGTCCAGGTTGTACCGTATGAAGCCTGGTCATAGGCCTTCTGGCTGTGAATGAGCATGCCATATACATATCCTTTTTTATTCTTAATTACTCTTACTTGCATGCTGCAAATAAAATGTGTCTGTATCAAGGGAGTTCCATCTCCCTTGATACTCCACAGATTTAGATAGGATCTTGGCTTGTGATTTTCTCAGACCTTGTCATTTCAGGTAAGGATCAAGCAGTGAGTCAGTGTGTTAAAAAATAATAATAGTCAACTAAGGAACTTAATATGCTCATGTATTTTTGTTCATTTGAAAACTTTGAAAGTACATAGGTATAGAAAAGTGGGAATGGACAGTATATATATAAATCATCTATTGCAAAATCTTACAATTTAAACAGAGTGAATTTTATCTTAAATATAAATGTAGTTCTAATAATTTTAGTGAAGAAAAAATAGTTCTTGGTGGTAGTTCTCTGAATAATCTGTGGTTCAGAATGCATCTAAATGTATTTGAACTAGTTTTCAGATGGTTGTGAACTTGCTTCACCTACTTGTCTGCACAAAAGCAACCTGGCAGTTTACTCAAGTTTTAATAGGTCAAAACAACTGTCTTTTTTTATAAAGTGATTACACTGCAAGAAGAGGAATATTTGTGGCCTTGAAAATTGACATTTTTTGGTTGTATTTTATATGGATCTGGTGGCCTCATCAATGAGGTGTATGTCAAAACATTGTCATTATATTTATACATATTAATTGTAAGTTATTAAATATTTCATGAGCTGACCCTAAACCTATTTCGTAATACTACTTAATCAAATTTCTTAACAGGTTCCTGTAGATTTTTAGCACTAATAAAATTCTGTACTTCTTTTGGGTTGATATAATTCACTCGCTTTTTCTGGAGATCCATCTCAGAAATTTAAAAACAAAACATTCCAGATCAGGAAACTTGCTCAGGCCTCTTAGATAGCCTCATCCACCAGAGGACAGACAGCAGGAGCAAGAAGAACTACAATCCTGCAGCCTGTGGAACAAAAAGCACATTCACAGAAAGATAGACAAGATGAAAAGGCAGAGGGCTATGTACCAGATGAAGGAACAAGATAAAACCCCAGAAAAACAAACCAAATGAAGTGGAGGTAGGCAACCTTCCAGAAAAAGAACTCAGAATAATGATAGTGAAGATGATCCAGGACCTCGGAAAAAGAATGGAGGCAAAGATTGAGAAGATGCAAGAAATGTTTAACGAAGACCTAGAAGAATGAAAGAACAAACAAACTGAGATGAACAATACAGTAACTGAAATGAAAACTACACTAGAAGGAATCAGTAGCAGAATAACTGAGGCAGAAGAACGGATAAGTGACCTGGAAGACAGAATGGTGGAATTCACTGCTGTGGAACAGAATAAAGAAAAGAAGAATGAAAAGAAATGAAGACAGCCTGAGAGACCTCTGGGACAACATTAAAAGCAACAACATTCACATTATAGGGGTCCCAGAAGGAGAAGAGAGAGAGAAAGGACCTG